TTTCTTTCTTTTTTTCTTTTCGCTATTGTACTCATGAGTCCATGAGTGCGCGAGGACGAAGTGATAAGAGCGAAACGTAGAAGCGCCACTAAAAGAAGGCAAAGAAAACTCGGCGAAACGATCCGCAATTCTGCGCGCGCAATTCGATCGTTCTTTCTTCGAAACTTCCCTTGTATACGTTCTCTGCCTCCTTGTTTTCTATATATATTTTTTATATCTTCCACTTTCAGTACTCTTCCCGTCTCCAGGCGTCTCCGAGATTGTCGAAATGGAAACCCGCTGAAGTGATGCGCGGCCGAAAGAAAATACCCACGAGAGAGATAGAGAGCGAACACGCTAAAAGAAACAAAGAGTAACCGCCGCCAGAGAAAGGGAGTAAGAGAGAGGAGGAAGAAGGTTGGCGAAGCAGCGATGCGAGAGAAACTGCGAAGGAACGAAACGGCGAAGACAAAACAGAGTCGGGGGGCATCATTTAAAAGAAAAAAAAAGAAAGGAAATTCTTTCGTTTCTCATACCTCTGTTTGCTCGCCCGTTTTCGCGATGTTCGGCCCGACTTAAAACTGCAGTAAATGTAGAGAAAGGAGAGAATGCCGGGAGATAAAAAGAAGCTACTCCCAAAGCAGAAAGGAATCTTAACGAGAGAAGGAAACAAAAGCCACAAAGTGAGACCAAGAGACGAATAGGCCATGCAGTCGCGACATCGGGCTACAGCAGCCCTCTCCACTTTTTCCTCCCATCCTCTTAGCTCTCACGGATAGAGCTCCACCATAGGCTCCACTCTCGTCTAGGGCCGTTGCGAATTCCCCCTCCGCGTTCTTGGTGCGGGTTTTTTCACTTGGCCTGACTTGGCCTCCGCACCATGTGTGTGGCTGGCTGTCCGGGTCTTTGTCGAAGCGCTGAGTCACGCCTAGACTATTCTTCTCGTGGTGTAAAAATAAATTGGGGAAAGAAAAAAAAAGCACGTCAACTTGTTTCGGGGACCATTCTTCGTCATTATTATTCGTTTCCTTTCGTTTTTCAGTTCTTATTGCCCGATTCCGCTTCGGTGGTGGTTTGACTTTTTTTTTCGCCATTGCGTACAAGAGTGGAAAACACTGCAGGAATTTATTAAATAGAACTCGTCCTTACGTATATGTTCTCTCCAGGTTGACTCGAAATGACGTTTCCTTGAAACTGTTGACTGACTTATTTCACCTTCGTTTTTATTTTCGTACGGACTTATATATAGCAGACTAACTGAAACATTTTGTACTTTTCTTACACCACTCCACAATTTCCTTTTGTCGCCATTAGTTAGTTGGTTTTTTAGGTTTTGTGGCTCCTTATTGCGGAATACAGAGACGATGAACTTTGTCAATACATGCGGCAGTCACATTTCATGCCCGATAACAATAGGGGAAACAGTAGTGTGCTTAAATAATAACTCGGCGTTGACCTACAAAGCACGCCACGAAAAAAAAAAAGAGAGAAGGCCCATGTAAGGCTACACACGCTTCTGGTATCCTTACAAGAAACTTTCCGTTTTCACGGTGAAGGACGATACCTTATTCGTGGTATATACGTAATCGCCTCAGGAATAATGAGGACAATGGGAAGAAGGATGATCGTCTCTCAAAATATAACGTCGGGCTGTGTCAAGAACAGTATACTTTCGAACGAAATATTTCACGCTGACATATTATAGCAAAGGACCTTGATCTATTTGACATTTCTACGCCAAGTTTTTGCACTCGTGTAGAAAATATGCACGCCACCTTTTCACCGACGACCGTTGATGTCTCTTTAGAGATGGCTTAGGAGAAAAGTATTCAGGAGAAAAGGCTTAGGAGAAAAGTATTCTGCCGCTAAAGAGTGACTAACGACTTTAAGCCTCTCTTCAAACTTGGAATAACGAGCGCGCATATCCGCAATATAGCTTTTCCCAGCTATCTGCTCAGCATGCCTCGGTTACTTTAGCTTTTCAGCAGTAGGTCACTCGTTTATGCATCTTTTTTGCGTAATATGCGCCTCAGTGTGTGTAACGCTGCCCCAGCAACCAAAACGTGAAATTTTATATACACATTTATTTGCTCATATGTGGCGGTATTCGGAAAAAAAAAAGGTAAAGGAACGAGTTTTGGAAGATACCTGCTGCGCACTATTGCTTCGCTTAAGTAGTATAATTAACTACACTAGCGAATATTCATAGCGAAGCCTGGCTAACGACGTCAAGTATATTCGTGTGAAATTAGAAGAAGTGTAAAGTTAGCGTAGGAAGGAAAGAAGAATGACTTTATCGAAAGTTAGTGTATGAGAGGCGCGTTTTCAAGCTATAACTTGTACATACAATATTTGCCATGTGGGCGGGATGTGAAAAGGAAGTGCAAGTCATTCATAGTTAACTTTATGCGTCACGTATGCAGTAAGTATCTGTTATCATTGTGCTGCCGTAAACAACAGGCGAAATAAGCTCTCATAAATGTGGAAGCGGTAACAACCACCGAACAAAGCTTTCCATGTTTTTTGTAGAGTTGTTTCGCCTACGTGCATGAGATCTGTAGGTGAAGCACGCTTTACACCCACTCGTATGATTCGCTCGAAAAGCTTCTCTTTCACGCAACTTCTGTCGCCCAGTAAGTTCTATACAATCCACCAATATATGAAATGAAACTAGACATCATCTTTACGTACCACCAGTACCGAAGAACATTCATCCTGAATACGTAACTAAAAAAAAAAAAGGAAAGGACATTAAAACGCTCGAAAACAATTAAAAATAGATTCTCGAACACAACAGATGCTGTCAACATAGACGTAGCAGAGTAAGCGCACATGTGTGGCATGGTCATTGTGGTCGTAGGCAGCGATGGTGCCCTAAAGGCTAGAGGCTCTGTTCGAACTGGCAGCGTAGAAGATGCGGAAGAATCGACCATAGCTTCCACGCAGGCTAAAAATGTAATCAGCGACTCCAAGGCCGCAGTCAGAAACTTAGTCTGAGAGGTGAATCTCTCGGGAAGCACAAAGCATATTGGCCAACTTTCGAGACCACAGAAAAGTCCAAATTGTTTGGGTGCCTGCACACTCCTCTCTTCCTAGCAAAGAGGCGCCTCACACCACGGCTCAATGGTAAAAGAAGTCACTGAGACGCCCCTAATAGGCTGGAGAGGAGATTGCATGGTCCCATATAAGGAAATCACAAACCATTACTGATGGCAAAGGGCCCGGTATCCTCCCGCACAGCACACACTTAGCAAGCAGCAAGCGGTGGCCTGGCGCCTCTTTCAAACAAATACGTATACCCCGAACCCGGTGGCCTACAGCCACTATTACCCAGGTAAATATGCCTACAAGTACAAATTATGTAAGGAAAGAGCGGACCTACCTCATATCCTGTGGGCCTGCCCAAAGGTGGTGCGACCGGATCGCACAAGTGACAATGATGAGCAGTGGGACACCATGCATGCTGCTAAGCTCAGGCCCAGAGGAACAGCTCTGGGCAAATTGACGGGCCTAGGACGCCCATCGAATCGCCCGGAGCTGTCGAATTTCCCAGAGACGGGCAGAGGACGACATACACTCGTACAAAAAATAATAAAAAATTGGCCTCGTATTTGCATGTTTCTGCAAATGTCGTCGAAAGACGATAGACTTGCGTGTGGAGAGAGTGAACAAGACATTTATTTGATGTTCTGGGCAAGAAAATCAGTGAGTGGTATCTGGAGGCGCTGCATTAGAGTACCTCGAGCGTGCAGCGGAGGCGAACGAGCGCCATCAAATCACGTCACACGTGAGACATGAGCGTCATCTGGCAGTTTTCTTAGAAAACAAAGCGCGTGGCTTTAAAACGGGTGTGCGCGCCCATCTCAGAGGTGATAAGGTGTAGAACGCAAAGCGACGGGTAGGTGCCACCACCGTCTCGTCTTAGCAAAGCGTTGGAAGCACTCCCCGTTCCGTGCAGGTGTTGCACGGTCAGCGCAGCGTGATAAGTGCTACGGTCGCTGAAATTACTTTTGTATGCCCTTTCCAGTAGAAGACGCACATGCAGAATATATACGTGTTGTTATGGTGTCCCAGACATGCGCAATAATTGCTTTTTAATTGACAATTGCACAAGCATGAACGCTCAACCTTGAGCAACATTGGTGGGTGCTGCGGATGGGGTCGGCCGTTTCAAGCACCCGATGCCGCTAAGAGTGAACAAACAGACAAATGGACTGACAGACAGACAGACGAACAGAGAGACAGACCAAATTTTTTGCGTCGAAGGTCCCCAAGAAAGACTAGCGTCTTTAAAAGCGAAAGAAAACCACTCACCCAGCTATTCTTGCAGGAAACATTATGTTCTACATATGAAACATCAAAAATTTCGAAAAAAAAAACCGAAAACATTTCCAGATATTATATTGCCTTCGTCCTCATATTGTTTATCTCTGCCTCAAGTTTCACAAATGAGCATACATCACGCTTGCGCTAAATCCGAGGGTTCAGCCTTTGGAGTGGTCTGCCTAAAATAGAGCGTACTCTAAACAATCACACATAATATCCAGTGTTATAAAGCAATAAAAGGCTGAGAAGCCTGAACAATCGCGTTCTATGCATGAAAGGTTTAGCATTTCGGCGGAAAGCTTTGACGAGAACCACAGCGGGAGATTTTACTAATTTTAATGTACCCGTCGTCATTCTGATTTATGCGCTTAATATATAAAATTTCCACCGATTTCGAAAACGTCAACACATAAATGGTTAAACTCGTATTCATAACACTTGTGCGAAAAAGAAATTAGTTCGTGGAAATCTTTCGGAGTTTTCACGCGGTATGTAAATTATATTTCCTGCACATTGAATCGACCAATTGACCATTATATGCGAGTTAATTCGGGATGTGTCGTCTATTGTGGCCTTTGCAGACTTGTGTCGCCACCAACCGGCTGTTTGCAAAACCTGTTTAACGTTGCCGAATCTTGGAGGTCACGTTAAAAAAACATTATTTGCCTTACCGCTAGGGGGCTGATACCGACATGGCATAACATGTTGAATGGATCTTGGAGTAAACGACTGCCAGTTTCAGTGGCCGTGATTGTGATCGTCGTAAGCGTTCGGCGAAATTTACTATTTGTCGCCGGTTTTACGAGTTATAGCGCCCCGTATGTTGTGCACTGTCCGAAGGCTGTGTGCGTTTTTGCCTCCAAAGGTATTGGCTTATTATCCGTACCGAATGTGCGAACACTGGACCGCTCCTTTGTTGCAGTGGCCGCAACGAAGAACTAGTCTCGTATGAATCTCTTACTATTGAGCTTCGAGTGCATCGGTTCCGTGAGTACATCTCCGGCGTGGCTTTAGTTTCGCTTAGGGCCCCGAACTGTACTCGTCGGTATGCACCCTGCGCCTGAATTGTAGTGGGACCAGCGTGAGTGCTTGTTCGCTTTTGGCGGGAGTTCGCTACCTCATCAACTCGCAGCTATGGGCACGTCGTCCGAAGACGTCCTTCTCATGGTCAGCAACGTGCGCTACAAGAAGAATAACGGGACCCTCTATTTGATGGCAGAGCGCATTGCGTGGATGTTGGAAGGCAAGGATTCGTTTTCCGTGAGCCACAAGTATGCGGACATCAAAAGTAAGTGTTCGCGGGCGTCTTTTGATGTGGAAGATTTTGCGGTAGAACGTGTGACCCGGCCCACATTGGTACCTTCATGAAGTATGACTGTGATGTGGAAGATTTTGCGGTAGCACGTGTGACCCGGCCCACATTGGTACCTTCATGAAATATGACTGTCCGAGTGCATGGCACATTGCGGGGTCACTGCTTTAGGAGGAGCGATTCAGACTCTAATGATGTGTGCAATCTTCCATATTGGTTTTACACACCGTGAGCTTCTGTAATTAACCTTGGATAAAAACTGTAAGCTTAGATAAAAAGGGTTAGTGATCAAGGGGTTTTAACTTCAGCCTCTATCACAAAAATGTGTACAATTTGACTTCCATCATGAGAGCTCCATGTATCCAGCGATTCTGTTCGCCCGTCATCCAGTTACGTGAAGCAATAATAATAATAAAAAATCTGCCCAACTCCATAACACTCCTTTTATTTTGGGCTGCTTTTGTCCTCTTGTTTGCAGTTCATTTAGCAAAGATTTCGTGGTGAAACGTTCACTGAGAACAATCCTATCAACAGTTATTGAAAAAAAGCGGTGACCTGAAATACTATTTCTTCGCTGTAACCGTTAAAAAGAAAGACAAAGCCTTCATTAACAGTACATATGCATATAATGCTATTTCTTAATTTCCAGACAAATGAGAAACTGCATTAGCTGGCAAAGATTTTGCACGATCAACAATCATCAGGGGAAAACCTGTAAATCTTAGTGCATGCAAAAAAAAAAAAAAAAAACGAGTGCTCTTAACCTTTCGATGTGGGCATTGGGGATCGAGCCAATTGAGAAACCCAACAGTGCTACCGCTGAGGTAAGCAGCGTTATTGTTTGTTGACAGCTCTAGTTTAGACTTTCTGTGTGCGATGACAATAGACTGTGTCTGTATGTTGTAGAAGGTTGGCATGTCACCTTTTTCTGGGATCTCGCCTATTTTTTAGATATCTTGAGATCATTGACACAAGAAATGCAGACAAATAATATAAATGGAAGGTCACTAGTTCTTCAATCTTGTTTCTTGCATTTTATTCCTGAAGCATGGCCGATGAATTGACTTAAAATCTCTTGCTTTAGTAGACACACTTCAACTCAAATGGCTGCTATCATAATTCTAGTCAAAGTTTTGCCAAAGAGTTTCCTAAAATTAACTAGAGGGGACTCTGGCGCTGCGATTGTTCAGCGATCATAGTAATGATTGGTAGTACACGAATTTGCCTAGTGTTTGTTCTTGTGGGCGGTGAATCTCACTTATAGCTTTGTTTACAGTTTTATTTCGAACTTCATGACCCAATTTAAAGTGGTTAGCCTAAAAGATTGAGGTGATGAAGCACAACTGCTGAACATTTGCCGATTGTTGTTTCGTAACAAAGCAGCTTCAAGCCATGTGAAGCTAAAAGGAACGTAATCTATGAAAACTAGAAAAATCCATGTACTACCTATAATTCTCATGCCCGCTGATGTGCCGTGCGTTGCAGCTCCCATAAACACTAGCGGCAGAGCTCCCTCTAGTGTATATATAGGAAACTCTATGTGCCAAACATGTTATGTGGAGACAGTGCTACATGATCTGGAGTAGCTCTGCATTTAAGCACAGATTGATTTGAATTAAATAGTGGCTGTTCAAGTTGCATCAATCCAAAGTTTGTGGCCATTGGAACTTGGGTTTTGCCATCCTCTTCCTCACTGACCTTTGCTTTTCCATAGAATGATCCACTGTCGGATAAAAAATTTTATTTATTCATTGATGCTACTAAACCATGCAAGGATTGATAATAGCTGTGGGAATATAATTCTGCCCCTTATGTTGCTGTTAAATTAACATTCTCTTTAGCAGGGGCTATTGAGTTATGCTGTTGAACCTGAGGATACAAGTTTGATTCCAGATCACAGAGGAATCGGGGCGCTACTGCACTCTGATTCTATAGTACTGTGCGTACTGTGTATTGAGCACGCCAAGAACCCCAGGAGGTACTTACTAATACCAGGCTTTCAAGTGTGGTCTTCCTTGTTAGCAACTTTGTTGCCCTTGAGTCGTTGAACGTCACAGTTGTAAAAGATACATTATGTTCCTGCAAACATTAATTGAAACAAATTGAAGATAACATTGTGGTCATTTGTTTCTGTAGACTGGTCTCAGTGACGTATGCATACCAGTAACAAATCCTGTAAGTCCCCATGTGAAACGTTCTTGGCAACTGCCCTCGCCTCATTTCTGTTGTTTTGAACGTGCAAATAATGGCAGTGTTCCAATTTTCGGCATGTGGTTAGAGTTCATGATATCCTCCTTGGAAGGAAAGATCATTAATGATTGAAATTGCTTTTTGAAGCAGTTTTTTTTTTTACCAAACCAAATGTTATGAGCAGGAGAAACCAATTTTGCGCCTAAATATCCCATTATGATGCTGGTGGCAGCACCTCGATGTAGGTGGAGAGAGCCAGCTTCAAGTATTTTATAGCCACTTTGATGATCTTTTTGGTCATTTAAGATAAACGAAACTGTGGTCTGGACAAAATTGTCATTAGTTTTCACAAAGCTGATGACAGCAAAGCATTTAAGCTGCATTTGTTCAGTTCCACATGTAGCAAACATTGTATCCAAAGCTCCATTGGTTTTAGAGGCCAGAATGTAACATGCCTTAGTGGTATTCTTAGACCAAGGACATTTCCAGCGTGCAACACTCATCTACCTTAAGTATGTGAATGCCTGTGGGTTTATGTTTCTTTTTTTGTTCTTCATACAGTGCAAAAGATATCCCCCGATGGCAAGGCCAAAGTGCAGCTTCAAGTTGTTCTGCATGGCGCGGAGGGCTCTGCAACCACTTTTCATTTCGTCAATCCCCTGGGCACCCAGGCTCAACTGGAAGACAGGAACAGCGTGAAGGAGCTGCTGCAGCAGCTACTGCCAAAGTTCAAGAGGACCTTAAATTCTGACCTCGAAGAAAAAAACAGGTGTGCTGTGCGAGAATATTCTTGCCTATCTTCAATGCTGCTTTGATTATTTGTTAACATGTACCTGATGGAGCAAAGCAAAGATATGTGAAATTAGTGCTGTAATGAAATGTGAACCACTGCCAGTTAGAAGCAATATAAATGAAGCCGCTGGGAGGTAATCTAAGAAAGCATATTATTGAGGGGGGAGAGCGAGGTGTTTCTCGTACTGCCAAAGAGTGCCAACTGTGCGGACAAAGAGGGCTCAGACAAGAAACACGGCAGTCTAAAATTTTATTCTTCTAAACAATGAAAAGAGTAATTGTTAGTGAACATCTGCAATATAACTGAGAAATTTGAACACATAACTATACAGGGACTGTAGGGAAACACGGGCAAGCACATGCCATGTAACCAAACAAACGCTTGTCTAGTTAAGTGCTCGTAATCTTAATAAAACATGAATCATTACTTAACCCATTCAACCAATTTATCTGCTAATGTTTACTGCCGCCAACACTGCACGGTAGTTGGTTCGGTTGTAACCTCAGTGCACATGGCTTTGCACCCAGGGTTACACATGAACAAGGGTTTATTGACAGGAATCACGTACACAGAATGTACAGCCGATAAGTATTCATACAGCCAATAAGTCTTTGACAAAGTGCCAGTGGCACATGGCTTTGCACCCAGGGTTACACATGAACAAGGGTTTATTGACAGGAATCACGTACACAGAATGTACAGCCGATAAGTATTCATAAAGCCGATAAGTCTTTGACAAGGTGCCAGTGATGCTCATGGAGTACACATGTTTTGTTGCATAAATAGTATAGTATATTCCAGCTTAAAGCTCACAGATCACATGAATGCATGTTGGTGCTTGTTTCTGACGTTTCATTACCTGATCAATTAATTGTGGCGATATTAAAGCTCCATTTACTAAACTTCCAAAGCGACCTGCTACCAATGTGTAGTGATGCCTAGTTTGCAAAATTGAGTCCAGATGAGGCTTCTTTTGGTTCTGCCCGTGCAGTGTGGTGCGATGTCTGTTCATTCTAGTGCCCTTCCATAATTCGAACTCTACTTAATTTGAACAATTTGAATTTTAAGTTTGAATTAATTAGCTTGTTCTGTGTTTACATTAGCTGAGGAAAATTGCTCATGAGCTAGCACAACTGTTTTCCACGGGTGAAAGGAAAGAGTGCCACAATCCTATCGGTATTGCTGACATTTTTCTCTGGTTGTAATTGACAACTGCGCGTGATATTGTGCCAGCTTTATTGTTTAGTATCATGGGGGAAGCTGCCGCAAATTCCTTACTTACTTGCGTAAGGGTTTGTCACATGGAAAGTTAGCGTGAAAGGGGTTGGGGGGCATAGAAAAACTCGAATAAATTTTACTTATTAGTCGGCTATACTGAATCAAATTATAATATAATATAGTAGTAAGTTAACTTATTCAGTCTTCTTCTACAAATTCTAAATGTTCAAGTAGATTTTTATTATATGCATTAAATAAGAAGGTATAAAATACCAAAAAGCATATTTCTTATGGCGATTTTAGCAACTTCTCTTTGTTAAACACAAAAACAAAGTATGTGGCAAGACTGTCAGAGAGCTGGTCTAGCCCGATGATGCCAGTCTGATTATCTTCTTCAAACTTTAATGCAAAATATGCAAACACAAATAAGAGTGATAAATTGTTATTCCATGCTCATAATAAGTATCAAGAATTATAGTTTGGTAAGCAACATTATAAGAACATTAAAAGCATGATCGGCTAGACCATCTGTCTGGCAATCTGGACACATACAGTGGAACTTCGATGATACGTTTCCTGGTTTCGCGACGACCTGCATTTTAGGATGAATATCTTTGATGACAGGGCTAATGCTATCTTCAGGGCTATCTTCATGACAGGGCTTCATGACAGGGAATATAGTTCTTACTTCTCATATAGCCTTCTACAGATGCACAAACTAGGAGTTGGACATATTTTTTGCTGTGCGCACACAATTTTGGTTGTCTTATGATGGCATCTGCTTCACAATGCAGTTTTACCAGTTCTCCACCCCCACCCCCCTCCAAATCAAGGTGGATGTTTCAGCTGACAAAGGCTGGAATGGTCAACAATAAACTGGCAGACGAATAAAGCACCAATAAAAAAAAGTATGCAACAGAGTACACACCATTTTTTTTAGAGCTGTCTGTACCAATTGTTGTTAATTTGGTAAACATACCCGCTTGATTGTGCTCTCTATGCACGCAGAAAACAGCTGCGACAAAGTTCCTTGAAAATAAGCGTGTCATTAGCTTATGTGTGTGCAGGTGTAAAGGGGGGTGGGGAGACAGCTGCCCTCACTAAGAGCGGGGGGAGAGGGCGCTAAGTCTGCCTCATACATTACATTAATAGGAAGGGAAGCTGCTGCGATGAACTTTCACCCTCCTCCAAGGTGTATGTTTCAGCTGGCAAAGGCTGAAATGGTCATAGTAACTGCCGGACAGATAAAGCAACAAGGGAAAAAAAGTATACCTGCAAGTAACAGGCCGCACCTTTTTTTTTTTTTTAACTGAGTTGTCTGTGCCAATTATTGATCTGGGAAATGTACCCGTTTTATTGTGCTATTTTGCGTAAGCAGAAAAGAGTAGCAACAAAATTCTTTGAAGACCAGTATGTTCGTAAGTGGAAGGAGAGTGGGACAGCCGCTGTCACTGGAGGGGGGGGGGGGGGTGTTCCTGTAAGAATTTCGATTTTGTTTTTGCAAAATATAGTTGCAAAATGGGCTGGGCTCTCAGAAATTGAAGTTTGCATACTGCTATTGCTTGGCTTTTACTAATTGTTCTTCCATTTTTCTTATGTTAGTGTAAGTACATCTATTTCGTTTGCTGCAACTTATACATATTGTTACGTGAAGGTACACGCGAAACTAAGCGTTTGAGGATGTATTTACACAGCGCCAACACGCAAGCCAAGATGGAGAAGGAGTGCTGAGCCCTACACCTAAATCAAGTCGGCTTTCTCCGCACCTATCTAACCGCTTTTGTGGGACATTGTCTCATAACATAACCCCCGGGTGCTGAAGCACCGTCTCGGTGCTTTTTATGATGTTGCCGAGTGGTAAAGCTTAAGGCGAGATACATGAACAATGTCTGTAGATAGTGAAGGGGAGGAGGAGGAAGACTCGAGCGGGGCTATCTCGTAGGTCACATCTGTCACCTGGCGCAATACGCGGTAGGGTCCCGAATAGCGAGAAAGCAGTTTTTCAGAAAGTCCAACGCGCCTGGTCGGAGTCCACAATAGCACAAGAGAACCCGGAGTAAAGGAAACTTGGCGATGATGGGAGTTGTAATGCTGCCGCTGCTGATCTTGCGATGCTAAGAGGCGCTCACGGGCAACTTCTCGTGCTTTTCGAGCTCTGGTGATAGCATCCCGGGCGTATTCGGTCGTTGAGTCGACGGCTGCCGGAGAGATTGTGTCAAACGGTAAAGTTGGATCACGGCCAAACACGAGATAAAAAGCTGCATCATGATGTGAGGAATTATAAGCAAACATAATGAAAGGCAATGCAACGTCCCAGTCCTGGTGGTTGGATGACACGTACATGGCGAGCATATCGGTTAAAGTCCGGGGTGCACAGCCTCCCCCAACGACGTGCCCATTCTGCGTTGCCCCAGCCACAGAGGCAACGCTTGATCACCTATTGGGAACCTGCCCGGGCCTTCACCAGGCTCGCACTCGCCACCTACGCGGCCTTCACCACCACCCCGGCCGACCACCTGACTTGACGCGCTGGACGCACGGTCCACTGCATCGACAACTCCTGGCCTTCATACAGGAAACAAAACTTTTCCTTTTTATTTAACTGATGCCGTAGGGCATACTAGCGCCAATAAAAAAAAAAAAAAAAGAATTGCTCGGTCAGGCCGTTAGTTTGTGGGGGGTAGGCTGCCGTAAATTTATGTTTTGTCTCGCAGGAGTGAAGGAGGTCGTCGATAACTCCGGAAAGGAAATAGCGCCCACGATCTGTAAGGAGTTGACGTGGTGCACCATGATGAAGTATAACGTCGTGTAGGAGCAAACCGGCAACGTCCGTGGCACAGCTGGTCGGTAGAGCCCGTGCGATGGCGTACCGGGTTGTGTGATCCGCCGCAACAGCTATCCACTTGATCCCAGAAGTGGATACAGGGAAAGGGCCTAGGAGGTCAAGACCAAGTCGAAAAAACGGATCAAAGGGAACGTCAAGTGGTTGGAGGAACCCAGCAGGGCTAACTAAAGGTATTTTTCGGCGTTGACACTGGTCGCATGAGGCGACGTAGCTGCGGACCGAGCGATAAAGACTGGGCCAGTAAAATCAACCCTGTACACGGTCATACGTCCGAGATAGTTCGAGGTGACCGGCAGTGGAAGCGTCGTGGAGCTGGCCGATCACGCTCACACGTAAGTGGGAAGGTACCACAAGGAGCAATTCGTTTCCATCAGGGCGGACGTTGTAACAGTACAATGTGCCATCCTTGAGCACAAACAGTTGAGTAGACGGATAGGGTGCCGCAGAATGAAGCTTCTCGATAATGTTTCGTAAGACAGGGTCTCGGCGCTGTTCCTCATGGATGTTGCTTAAAGCGGAGAGAGACAGGACATATGGCGCTTCATCGAACGCCTCAGGTGGGTCCACTGGATTCCGAGATAAGCAGTCAGTGTCATGGTGTAAGCGGCCAGATTTGTCGGACACCGAGTAGTTATACTCTTCGAGTCGTAATGCCCATCGACCAAGGCGCCCTGTGGGGTCCTTCAAGGATGCGAGCCAGCAAAGTGCGTGGTGGTCGGTTATTACGGAGAAATGTCAACCGTTTAAATTGGGCCGAAATTTCGCTACTGCCCAAACGAGAGCAAGGCATTCCCTTTCGGTGATTGAGTAATTCCTTTCTGTCTGCGAGAAGAGACGGCTGGCATAGGCGATAACGCGGGCGCAGCCGCTTTGATGCTGGACCAAAACAGCACCAATTCCGTGGCCACTGGCA